TTCTAATATTTTTGTCGAGCACAAAATTTACTGCAAATAAAGTATTGGCATGACTTGCCGAAAAGGTTAAAAAAAAATTAAATGACTTTTTATTGTGAATATGTAGCATATGTCCATGTGATTGATACTTGAACTGAGATGGGATACTCAGAAAAATTAATAATTATAATTACACTAGGTATCGCTGTCATCAGCAATATATAGCATTAGCTAGTAGTCTTACACACTGCATAAAGCAGACTGACTTGATATGAAATTTTTAAGCTGCTACAAAATGACAAGATTCTGTATAGTAGGTGAGTTCAGGTGCAAATTTTTTAGCCTGTAGGTGAGTAGTACTAATTTGTTCAAATCATGTATTCTTATTTTATTATTATATACTACTAAACTACATATTAGAGCTCTTATCAGGACCAGACTAAACCAGACTTTTGTCAAGTTCAAGCCTAGTTCGATTTTCAAACTGGACTCAATCTTTTTGTTTTAAACTTGATCTAAATAAGCAACTAATTAAAACTTTATGTACAGTTCACATGCTCTGCTTATTCCTATGCTTGACTTGATTAAGAGATTAATTATTCATTTACGTATTTAACTATTAGTATATGAGTATATAGAATTTAGTTATAAAATAGTTTCTCTTTAAATATATACTAACCTTTTTCTTATTAGCTGTTTCTTTATAAATTATACATTTACTATTAGAAGTAAAGTTTGCAAATAAATATAGTTAGTATTAGCACTTTATCATATTAATGTTAAAGTATGTATTATTATAAACACATATTAATATGTATGTTATTTATAGAAATTGTTTTTACAATCACAATGCTGATACAATTTTAGATATTAAATGAATATTAACTTTATAGTTAAGCAACGAACCTTCAATAATAATTTTTTATAACCTGATAATACTTATATTGATAGATTGATTTAAGTTTTAGAATTCATTAGCCACAGGTTTATTATAAGAACATGTTATTAGTTTATCAAATTAGTCTAAGTAGTAATAGTAACTAAGTATATAAATATCAAAGTTTGTAAGTAATAACTATAATTATATTCAGTATATCAAATCATAAGACCAAACCTGTTGATCAAAATATTAATCTATTTACTATTGCTGCTTAATTAAGTACTACTGCTAATAATATTGATAATGAATCATCTACAACTTTAGAAGAAGAAAATAATCCTCATCAACTTAAAGTACTATGATTAGCAAAAGAATCATTAAATTAGAATCTGAATTGGCCTAAAATATACCCTTGGGTTTATCGTGGAGAAGGTCAATTAAATAAATATATATTTTGTTATTGGTGTAAAGAAGCTAGTAAAAATAATAATTTTTCTAAAGGTTGTAGATATTTTAAAAAACAAAGTTTGGATTGTCATATAACTACTAGTGATCATGAGATAGTTTGTGCTGCACGAATGCAATCTCAAGCTACCTTATATTCTAGTTTTGCTATTCAAGCTAGAAATAATCAAATTAATATTATAAAAAATATGCGTAATATATATTTTTTAATTCAGCATAATTTGTCTACTAATATATTTAAAAGTTTATACAAATTATCTAAATTACAACGTATTAAAAATCAAGATCAATTTGAGTGTAGCAATTAAATATTAAATATAATTGATAATGATTTTTCTATTAATAATGAACGAGCACCATATAGTAGTTATCAAAATAATGTTACTGCTCGTGAATTTATTGAATCAATTGGTTACATTATAGAGCAAGAAGTTTTTTAAGAATTGCATAATTCAAATGGATGGAGTATAATGATAAATAAAAGCCATACTATTTCAAATAAAAAAACCTTAGCAATTGTTTCAAAACATGCAATTGTATTAGCTAAACCTCTTTATCAGTTCCTTGAATTAATCTCATTAACAGATAGTACTGCAAATGCAATTACAGCAAAAATTGATCATTTGTTTTAGCAAAAAATATATCATATGATAAGTTAATGCATATTTGTACTAATAGTGCTAGTACAATAAGAGGTAAAATATTAAATTTTTAAATTTTATTTATATATAATTTATATAAATTTGTAATTAATTTTTATAATAATTATAGGTATTCATAATGATATATCAACTCAGCTTAAAAATAAAAATCTATTTATTTTAGAACACATCATTGTATTTCGCATAAATTAGTATTAGCAGCAAAAGATATAGCAAAACAAGTTAAAAGGTTTAAATCATATAAAAAAACTATACATAATATATATAGTTATTTTTTTGAAGTATAGAATGTATGATATATCTTAAAATAATAGAAGAAAATATTAGTGATCTACAACTTACAGTTTTTTTTTTTTTTTTTTTTTTTTTTTAACATTTAAGGTAGCTTATATTGCTGATAGAATTTTATTAGTATTTGCATACGGGATTATATATTGATAATTCCTACTGTTTGTAATTACATGAAGAGTATACAACAAGCCACATGTACAATTTTAGTCATTGTCTATTTTAAGTAGTCCGCCGTACAGACGATTAGACTACCCGATTAGTTCTACACTATGCTGCCATACCTGTAATCTATCTATGAGTTATCTATTTAAACACTCTGTTCATTAACCTATACAGATCCAAATCTAACGTCATCACAACACCTAACTGCTTAAGCCAGCTAGCTCGTTATGGATCTATTTACTCAAATCAGCTTAGGTCCTCTTGGAATACACTATACCA